CCAACTCATGTTCAATACCCGAACCTACCTCAGTAGCACCATCATCATGACTGATCTTCTCCTTTCCCTCCTCAGGTGTTGAGACTAATGGTAATTCAAACGGTTGGGGGGTTTCTGTATGAAAATCACAGTGATTTGTGACTTCATTAGTTACAGCTTGTACCGTTTTAAACTTTTTCATGTATTCTTGGAAAAACAACTTGACGCTATTATCTTCTTCTTCATCTTCAAACATATGTGAGTCTTCATATTCCCACCTTCGCAGTCTGGCTCACTCACATGATCATCTCTATTGGTCTCCTCAGGTTGGGCTTCTGTGTCGCTAGGATGGGATCTCTCACACTCCTCAGATAGGGCGTTAAATAGGTGATCCAAGTAATTCTGCATTCTGGCTGAAAAGGTCTCCATTCTGGCTGAAGTAATGTGCATGAACTGTATGAGCGTCTCTTCCAAGTCAGAAAGTCTCTTTAAATCTGCCTCCTCTTGTTGATTCTGTGGCTCATAACTCGGCAAGGATGTAGGAGTGGTTGAAACATTTGTGCTTGTAAATTGTGGGGAGGACGAAGAAGGGTATCCAGTTTCCCGGAATGGATGGTCATATACAGGTTTGATAGGGAAAAGACATAAATGGTAACCTCCTCCACAGAAGGAACAAATGATATCCTTAAAACATTCAGATATTTCCTCAGACATTTTAGTTTGAAAAATAAATTCAAGAATGGAGCCTGGTCTTACGCTTACCCAATGGTATTGTGATGAAGGATAGTAAGAATCAGAATGAAAAGGTTGCGTGGTTGGAGTGTATGGATAAGAAGGATGAATATTTTGTGGTGTAGGAGAGTAGTATTGATGAGGTGTGAAAAATTGAGGAGAAGTGTAAGGAGGACATGCTCCAAATGGTGAATATTCCGTGGAGGTTTGAGAGTAAGGTATTCCTCCGTAAATTGAGCTGAATGAGTTCATCTCATCCTCTTAAGAACAAGTACCTGAAAGGTTAGCACAGAAAAATCCTACAAAGAACTAAGGAAAAAAACTAAAAAAAAAAATCTCGCTGAAATTAATTAACCCTTAAAACCGACACCGTCCCCGGTAACGGCGCCAAAAACTGATGTGAGTTTTCTCGCACTTAAAATGGTTGTAGAAAAGTGGTGAAAAGTACGAGTATCGTCTCCACAGGGACGGACAAAAGAGAATTAAAGATTAACTAAATTCAGCGATTAAAAAGAAAGAAATAAAATAAATGCGATGGTGCGAGATTGATTGGTGAATTAAAATTAAACTAATGCGAATGAGCGAATAAAAATAAAGCTTGGTTTCTTTCTAATTAACGACGAAGGGAAAAGGGATTGATTCCGGGGTAACCAGATTTCTGGCAGAACAAGCCTAATTACATGAATTTAATTTAATTGAGCCTAGCTAATCATTACTAAGTTCTTACCGCTCTCGCGGCGTAGAGTACAATAATTCAGGGAACCGGGCTGATCTCTCATGCGACAAGATCCTAAATTATTGTCAAAACGAGCGAGCTTACGGCCCCTTAATCGCTACTAATCTCTTAGCGAACGATTAAGTGTGTGTGAATGTGTCCTAGAAACAATTAGATCTCTCTTAATTTATTCTACATGCAATTGTAATTCTAGTCGCGATTCTAGGTTACAAGAGATATCAGTTAAACTATTCAAACACAAATTAAACGGAATTCATGCAATTAAACCGACAAGAATCTAGCCCTTCATCAACCCCAAATCCTAATTAAACTACTCACAATTTATAATTGAAGAATCAACAGAATTGGGATGAATAGAAATAATTGTCATTAATTAAAAAGATGAACTTCCAAATAATCCCAGAATCTTGGAAGAAAATAGCGTAAAAACGATGTTAAATTCGTCCCTAGGCCTCTCCGTAATGTTCGTAACCTCAAAATAGGAAAAGGGAGACCTTATTTATAGACAACGGGTGAGTTTGGGTTGAATTGGGACTAAAATCGGATTAGGCACGGCGTGCCCACGGGCCAGGCACGACCGTGCCTGCAGAGCAAGGCCGAAATTCGCGTTTCGGGTCCAGGAACGGCGTGCCTAAGGGCCAGGCACGGCGTGCCTGCCCATTCCAGGGACTTGGTACATCGTAACACTACAGGCACGGCGTGCCTTCTTGGGAACGACCGTATCTTCCTTTCTGAATTTGGAGATACTTCCTTCATGAAAGTTGTAGATAATGAAGTCCTCTATCCACCCCAACTTGCGGAATTGGATTTGAATCATCCAATAAAGAGATATGACTAAAATGGTGAAAGGTCTCATTCTGAAATCGCAACAGGGATCATCTGACTTCATTGTCAGTTTTCACCTTCTTCCTAGCATATTCTTGAAATGATGTCTTCATATGATTTGTATCCCTTGAAGTTGGCTTTCATATGTAACTTGAATAGTGTCCTTTGAATGCTTCTACAAAGAGATATGCTTGAACGATTGACAAAAGGTCATCCTGATCGTCGTTTTCCAGCTTCATTTATCTTCTTTTGATCTTGTAGCGAATCCTAGAGCTCTTTTGCCATCAAATTTTCATCGTACACCTCCCAATGACCTCCAAAGATCTCAATCCACTCTCGAGTGCATCTTGAATCATCCCGATTGCTCCTCAAATGCCGGTGCCAGACACTAAATTCTTGATTGTGACTCCAAATGATACAAAACTCGAACCAACGCCTGGTAAACATAACTTGAGCTAAAATTGAGACTTGTAACACCTTAAAGCTAGGAAAACCATCAAAAGCCGATCCTAACACGCATCAAATGCGTGTCTAAATACGGACTTATCAGAGACTTATGATACCTTACAGTTAGGAAAAACCAGCAAAAGCCGATCTCAACACGCATCAAATGCGTGTCTAAATAAGAACTTATCATATTCCCCCACACTTAAGCCTTTGCTTGTCCTCAAGCAAACTGAACAACGGGACTTACGATAATCACCACACGAAATCAAAGGGATACTCACAGAACAGACAGACTAAACCAAGAAAATTCTTCCCTAAACTACATCTTTGTACTCTAGCTAAAATTAATGACTAAATTATTCACAACATCCTCAAAGCAGTGACAGCGTACACTAATAAATTAGCTACCGATCAGAAGGACTTGTGAAGGTGGTGGTGAACGGTGAATGGTCAAGAATAAACAGTTTCTTTCTTTGAGAGTTTGGAACACCCTAACAAAGACTATTTTCTTCAATTATCTTCCTTGAATATTAATTACATTCCTATTCTATATCCCATATTAATATCTTGAGCATTACTTAAAGGATTAACTAGATTTGTTTCATATATTAGCTATTACTAGAATCGATCGAGTAATTCGCTTGTTATTAATTCAGTCCTTTCAACGGTAGTAAACTTGGATTATTAATGCATGCGTCTCATGATAAATAATCTAAGGGGAATTAATTATATTGATTAAACCAATAAACCGTTTGTGTTGATGTTATCAATCTCAATCGGGTCAATATACTGCACATGTTTTATATTGAATTGATAGTAAGTTTTATTAATGAACGTGTCTCGTTATTAATAATTACCCTCGATGAATTGGATATACTTCACGATTGAGTATTCGAGAAGAAGATAGTTAAAGATATAACCGGGATTGATGAACACTTCATTAAGTGGAAATAAGCAAAGCCAAGTCTTCATCTCATTTAAGTAAAACACATAAGTCATTCATTTTCGTGTTTTAATACATTTAAAGTTCAAGAACAATTACTAAGTTCTTAAGACATATAAGGAGTACTATTAGATAAGACTAATTCTGTGAAGTTAAATTGAGCAAATCATGTCACACTGTAGGTTTATCAAATTGAAATCCATTTCTACGTAATGTTGTTATGGTGTATTAGAGTATTACTTACGGCCCGCGGGATTCAAATCCACATTTATGTGTATACATATACACACAGCTCTACAGTTTGAGCTAATAGGCTAAAAATTTGTAGGGAAAAGGTGCAAATAAACCCATGTACTAACCAAAAAAGGTCAAATAAGCCCTTATTTAGGAGGCTCTGTCCGGCCGTCGCCATTTGAGGTGGTTCCCGGTGAAATTTTTTGATGAAATTTTTTGAGCATCTTATTCATCAAGTCTAGTTTACTCATACGAAATTTCGGCTAAAACTTCAATCAGGAAGGCATTCAAATGAATTCTAAAAGATAAATGCGCTTCTAACTGTGCAGTTATTTTCAAGAATTTATTTGAATACCTTCCCGATTAAAGTTTTAGCTGAAATTTGGTATGAGTAAACTAGACTTGATGAATAAGATGCTAAAAAAAATTCATCAAAAAATTCCACCGGGAACCATCCCAAATGACGACGGCCGTATAGAGCCTCCTAAATAAGGGCTTATTTGACCTTTTTTGGTTAGTACATGGGCCTATTTGCACCTTTTCCCAAATTTGTATGTTAATAATGTTGTCAGTTTTCCCTTTTAATCAGAAGTCGGTAAAATGGATCCGTAACTTCGGGAAAAGGATCATTTGTTTTGAAGGATATGAATCGTAAGGTGAAGAAGGGAAATCTCGATTCATATCCTTCTCGACCGGGTAAGTAAAGAAGAAGCTTCCATGGTGATGTGTAAAAAAAAAACTTCCATGGTGATGTGAAAAGCTAGAGATCAAGAGGGAGAAGATGGTCTTTGTACGAAAAACAAAAAGAAACGGGCAACAGTAGAAGGGCAGACATCAAAAGGATTTGATTTGCAAAGAGGAAGGGTTGATTTTGCAGAACGAGAAGAAGAAGACTCTGTGAAGCTCGCATTTTGGGCTAGATAAATTTAAGTTAAGAACATTAACTTAAATTTCAAAACTGCGACCTTATTAATTACTAGTTCCGTCCCTTAAAACTTTGTCAAGTTTGACTTGACATGTTTTGGAATCACAAATTCGTTACTTAAAAGGGAAAGTGACAAAGTTAGTGGGACATCCACAATAGGAAAATTGGCAAATTTATAAGGGACAGAGAGAGTATAACGATAAATGATGATTTGAAAGGCTAGGATTGAGAGTGGTCATACAAAAATTGATGCTTATCACAACAAGGGTTTTCATGTGTACAATATTCAAAAATATTCTTGTAGTTTTAGGTATTTATAAATCCACCCTCAAATGGAAAACAAAGAATTTTTTTACTTCATTGAATAAATACTAAAAGTACATTTTTCTCTCCGGCCGGCGGCTCTCTTGCCGTTCTGTTGCTCGGTAATTTCTCTCCGGCCGGCGGCTCTCTTGCCGTTCTGTTGCTCGGTAGTTTCTCTCCGGCCGGCGGCTCTCTTGCCGTTCTGTTGCTCGGTAGTTTCTTTCCGGCCGGCGGCTCTCTTTCCGTTTTGTTGCTCGGTAGTTCTGGCCAGTATTTCTGGGAGGTGACTTTCTTCTTTCTATGAGATGCGTTAGCTGGAATTGCAGAGGGCTGGGAAACCTTGCCACAGTCCAAGTGCTGGTGGATCTTGTTCGGGACAGACGCCCATTGGTCGTATTCCTGATTGAAACTAAGGCAGGGAGGCAGCGATTGGAAGAGGTAAGGAGTATTTTAGGCTTCCGTAATGTGTATACTGTTGAAAATATGGGATTGAGTGGTGGGTTAGCCGTATTGTGGGCAGAGGAGGTAAATTTGAGAGTGGATGCTTCGAGTCCACACTTTATCGATTGTTATGTGTGTATCGAATCAGGAGCTCCTGAGTGGAGGTTTACAGGATTTTATGGTATTCCGGATAGACGGAGGCGCAGGGAATCATGGGATATACTCAGGTCTTTGGGTGATAGAGGGGATCAGCCTTGGATGTTAATGGGAGATTTCAATGATATAATGTTCCAAAGTGAGAAAAAGGGAAGAGTTCCCCAACCTCCATGGCTACTCCGGGGATTCCGTGAAACAGTTTGGGCCACCGGGTTGCAGAATTTCCAGTTCGATGGATACCAATGGACCTGGGAGCGTGGTCGGGGGACGGAAGGGTGGGTTGAAGAGAAATTAGACATAATTCTTGTCAATGAAGGCTGGTTAGATTTGTTCGGGGCAGCAAAAGCTTGTACCTTGAAAGGGGGAGCTAGTGATCATCTCATTTTGTTCATCAAATTGCATAAGGAGGTGAGAGTGAGAAGTACTCGTCCCTTTAAATTTGAAAGTGTATGGCTTCGTGAAGATGAATGTAAAGAGGTTGTGGTTCATAGTTGGAGTGCAGCGGGGAACTGTTCTATTTTGAGAAAGCTGAGTATTTGTGGACAGGCTCTACAACAATGGGGAAGAGGATTAAGAAGAGGTTACCGAGCTCGCATTGATGAGTGTAGGAAGCGGATGAACTGGTTACGAGGACAGGTTGATAACAGAAGTTGCTGGGAATTTCAAAGGGTCAAGGCAAATTACTTGTCACTGTTGGAGCAGCAAAATATATTTTGGAGACAGCGTGCCAAAGAATTTTGGCTAAGAGAGGGCGATATTAATTCAAAATTCTTTCATAACGCAGTCAAACAGCGGAGAAGACGTAACAGAATGTTAGGATTGACAGATCCAGACGGGGAGTGGGTAGATGAGAGAAAGGGTATGAGAAGATTATTCTCGATTACTTTGACAATATTTTTTCCTCTTCTCCTCTTAATGGAAGGAATTTCCGGACTGGTATTACTAGGAAGGTGACTGTTCAGCAGAATGGACATTTATTGAGTCCTTTACGAACAGAAGAGATTAGGAAAGCGACTTTTGATATGTTTCCTGATAAGTCTCCGGGACCGGATGGGATGAGTCCGGGGTTTTTTCAACACTTTTGGAATACTGTAGGGCCTGAAGTGGTTCGTTTTTGTTCTGAACTCTTTATAAAAGGAAGAGTACCGAAGGAGGTAAATATTACGAATTTGGTTTTAATCCCGAAAAAAGAGAACCCCCGGGGGATGGGGGACTGGAGACCCATTGCTCTTTGCAACTTTATTTATAAAAAAATTTCAAAGGTACTGGCTAACCGGATGAAAGGCATTCTTTGTAGCCTTATTTCGGAAAACCAAAGTGCATTTATCCCGGGGCGTAGTATAGTAGATAATGTTTTAATAGCCTTTGAAACACAACACTACCTCAAAAGGAAGAATCAAGGTAAGGAAGGCTTTGTTGCTCTAAAACTTGATATGAGCAAAGCTTACGATCGAGTGGACTGGGGCTACCTTCAGGCCATTATGCTTGAGATGGGTTTCACAGAAAGGTGGGTAAACTTGATTTTGCAGTGTGTTTCAACAGTTGAGTACTTTATCCCGTTTGATGAAAAAGTGATAGGACCTATTCGACCGAAGCGTGGGATTAGACAGGGAGACCCTTTGTCACCGTATTTGTTTATACTGGTTGCTGAAGGTTTAAGTGCATTGCTTAGACAGGAAGAAAGTAGGGGGGATATTACTGGAGTGGCAGTAGCTAGAGGTGCCCCAAAGGTAACTCATCTTTTTTTCGCCGACGACAGTTATCTTTTTTTCAAAGCTAAAGAATCTGAATGTAATGCTATTAAGCGGGTGCTTAAAACCTATGAGGACCTCTCTAAACAAACTATTAATTTTAACAAATCATCAGTGAGGTTTAGTGCAAATGTGAAGGAGGAGCTTCGAGTGCAACTAGGAGGCGGGCTGGGAATTCGCTTAGAATTTGAAATGGATAGCTATCTGGGTCCGCCAGCTCTAGTAGGGAGGCGCAAAAAAGAGATCCTTTGTTATCTTAAAGAACGGATAATAAAAAGGCTTCAAAGTTGGAATCATCGTTTTTTGTCTCGAGCAGGGAGAGAGGTTTTACTCAAATCTGTCATTCAATCTATGCCTACATATGCTATGAACGTTTTTCTTCTCCCCCTAGAGATGTGTAATGATATTGAGAAGCTTATGAATGGATATTGGTGGAAAGGGGCAGATTTGACAAAGAGGGGCATTCGATGGAGGAAGTGGCAGGGGTTGTGTGTGCCAAAGAGGCAAGGTGGGTTGGGTTTTCGAAGGTTGCGGGAGTTTAATGTGGCAATGCTTGCGAAGCTGATCAAGGAGCCTAATTCCTTGGTGGGCAGAATTTTGAAATCTCGTTACTATCCTAACACGGATTTTTTTGGCGCTAAAGTTGGGGCGAACCCATCTTTTACATGGCGGAGCATCATGGAGGCAAAAGAGGTGGTTGCCTCGGGCATTAGACAGAGAGTAGGTGATGGTAAAGAAACAATGGTGTGGGGTCATGCATGGCTTCCAGGTAAGGGGGATGGAAAAGTTAAGTCACCGCGTCCCCCAGGAGTGCAAGATATGAACGTGACAGCTCTTGTCACGGAAGATGGGAATGCTTGGAATGTTGCTAGAGTTAAGGAGCTCTTTAATGAGGAGGAGGCTAAAGTTATATTAAGTATTCCCCGTAGCAACAGGAGGGTGCGAGATGGAATAAGCTGGGTTGGTGAACCAAGAGGGGAGTTTTCTGTACGAAGCTGTTACCGTTTTCTTGTAGGGGAGACTAGCTCGCAAGAGTGGGTTGGGTGGACAAAAATGTGGAATTTTCATTTACCACCTAAAATAAAAATATTTTTCTGGCAATTCATGAATGGTTTTCTACCCACTAATGATAAGCTGAGGAAGCGGGGAGTCGAGGTTGATCCCGTATGCAAGGTTTGCGAGCAGGAGGAAGAGCCAAGGATACACTTTTTCAGATATTGTACAGTAGCTCAACTTGTGTGGCAGCATATGGGACTACTGTTTGCAGGTCAACAAATCCCAGATTCTCAATGGGTGCAAAATATCTTTGATACGCAGTCCGAAGACCGGTGCAATCACTTTATTGTCATGCTATGGAGTTTATGGAAAGCTAGAAATGAAGTGGTGTGGCGTCACAATAAAATGGATCACCGGGCTGTTATGAACTGTGGGGCTGCTACGTTGAAAGGTTGGCAGGATGCCCAGCTTCCAGGAGGTAAAAAAGGAGGCTGCAAAAGACTGAATTCAAGAGAAAAATGGCAGCAACCGCCAGTGGGATGTGTAAAGATCAATGTCGATGCTGCTATAGATTTAAAGAGGGGCTGTTGCGGGCTGGCTATGGTTGGCAGAGAGACTAACGGCAACTTCTTAGCAGCAAGAAGGAATGCATATGCAGTAACTTGGGAACCAAAAGTGGCTGAGGCGATGGCTGTCCGGGAGGCAATCATTTGGGCACAAAAACAGGGTTGGAGACGGGTGGAAATTGAAACAGATGCACAGTTGGTTAGTACAGGAGTTATTGCAGAACCGGGTGCCTCTTACTTTGATCTTCTGGTTGATGATATTAGACAAATGTTAGCTTTAGAAGCAAATTTTTCTGTCAAACATGTTTCACGATCTGCGAATCGTGTGGCTCATGCATTAGCAGGGGTTGCCGTTTCTTTGTCAGATTGTCGGGAATTTTTTAATTCTCCTCCGGAGTGTATTGTAAGCCATTTGGCTAATGACTTGGTTTGAGTAATAAGATAGTTTTGTTTTATTCAAAAAAAAAATCCACCCTCATAATTTTTAAAATTGATAAATACACTCCCATAGCTTTTACTATGTAATATTTATAAATGTATGCTTGTATAATCGTATCCTACTATATTTTATTTTGTCGTATCACCATACTCGTTTCGACATTTCAGTGTTTCTATGTTCTCGTATCAATGCTAGTGTGCTACATAGCTGGTGTAGAATGAATCACGACATAAGACTATGGCTTAACCTAACTTATGTAATAAAGTTGATCCGCTAGTCTCGAATAGTGGCGTAGGGTCAAGTCATCTAATTAATTTGGAGGTACCAGCTCCAAATACAAAATTGAGATCTCATATATGAATAAAAATGAAATCACATACCATAACAATTCACACAGTTCAACAAAATTAATTGTGTTCAAATGTTCATAAAAAACATGCTCTAAAATAACTACATACTTCGTATTAATGTTATATAAATAACTATATTGTAATACTAATATTGAAAAACAAAATGTATCCCAAATTTTGATGGACCCGATTTGCTATTAATTTGCTAAAAACGGCCTTGTGATGGGTCAGATGCAAAGCTATCACCCGTTGTCGCTTGGTTCATGATCTCACCCGCAACGGGGGAGACTAGAAAAGAAGAGTCAGCCAACCCAAAGTAGTGTCTTTAATCAATTAGAACCGGTGGGCATAGCTCGACTGGTAGCGAGGGAGTGCCACAAGGGTTAAGTCTCGGGTTCGAATCTCGGCAACTGCGATGAGGGGTTACTATGCTGAAAAATGCATAGGGCCTCTGCAAGTACCGGGGATAGAGCCTCACTCTTTATCTGTCAGATTGTGATTATAATCCAATTTACATCCTCTCATCGTGCCGTTCGGTCGGTGTTGGGGGTCATCAGGAATGGGGTGTCATCCTTTTTTTAATCAATTAGAAGTCACATTTTTTGAGCTGGTTGTCCTAGCGATCTTGATTCCCCACTCGATCAATTGGCCAATTCCATTACACATTTTAAAACACCCTCCAAGAAACATACGAATATTGTCCTCAATTAAATTTAAGTAACATTTTAATTTCTCATTTTGTCATTTTATCTATCATCCCATATTTTATACTTCATCCGTCCCGTTAAGATTGTCTCATTTTACCTTTTCGAAAAGTTCCACTAAGATTGTCTCATACCATATTTGGTAAATATTGTGTGGCTCTAAATCATTCTAACTTTATTTTTACTTTATCAATTTAATATCAACCACACAAACTCACTTTTCTTAATAATCGTGTCACCTTCCCTCGTCTCAATCTTAGTGGGACGGAGGTAGTATTATGTAAACTCATACTACTTTTTGGATGTTAAAATGGTTAAACAATCCAAGATTCTTTTTTCCATATCAAACTCATATTTATCTTATATTTTGTGACGAAGTGAGTATGTGTTCAAGAAAGTTAGATATTCATGTTAAGCATCGTTTATAGTATATAACTATATATTCTAGTTAAATGCTAATATCCTTGAATGTGATTTTAATCTCAAAATTTTGAGTATGAAATTATATTCGTTTTAAGATTTGATGTTTGTAATTCAATACAACTTTTGATTCAATTTTAAGATATACAAATTGTTGTTGCTATAACTAGCGTAAAAATTACCAGGATCGGAAAGCATCAAGTTTGTGCTTAATTTGTCAAACTCATAAATCAATTTTGCAAAATAATTTGGACGGAGGAAGTACAATATTGTTATTTGTTGGAGTCGTGTATACTACGTATTTAATTAAAAATCAAAGTGGTATGTAAGAAAATTTTATTGTGATGCTTTTTATAAATAGAAAATTTTTGTATCATATTTTTATAATATTTTAACACAGTGTATTAATGCAATCTTATTCAGGTATTGAATTTAGGGCCCGTTTGGTAGTTTACTCATTAAAATTTTACATGTAAAATGATTGCATGTAAAGTTTAGGGTAGTAAAATAGTTTACATGTAAAATAGAATACATCATTTGGTTATGTGTGTTATCTCTTTTTAAATTACACCCAAACTAAATAAAACATGCGTGGCAAAAAAAGTAGGGGTGGGCGCGGTCCGGTCCGATCCAATATTTGACCAAACCCGTACCCATACCGTTACTATTCAAACGGTTCGGTTCGGTCTTAGACATAAACCCGTTCGGTACGGTTTCATTTTGAAACAGGACGGTACCATGCCATACCAATACCAAACAATGCCACTTTTTCCAAGTGTTTAAGAGACAATTAAAGTTTAGTCATCCTCCAAAAATCTACACAATTTATCAATTTTCATACTCATTCCATCCCAAATTGACATGCAAAGTCAATACGGAGTATTTTTTTGTCAACCAATGTCTGAGTTAAATTCTCTTCATTGATAATTAATTCAATTTTTAAAAATGAAAATAAACATATTCAGAAACTACATTGAAATTTCTTCAAAGTTGCAAGCTCCAAATTAAATATAATTAAAAATTGACATTCTAGTTAAGTGAATAAAATGAATTTGTTTGACAAAAAAAAGTTAATTTTACAAATCAATTTGGGATGAAGGTAGTATTACATAATTAATAAATTTTAGATAAATTATAGCAGTACAAATTTAAATGAATAAATCATACATCGGTCTGATTCCAGGCTTCCTATGAACTAGCAAAGACGGTGAAAATGTAAAGGCACTAGTCAAAATAATGGTATAAATGTAACTTTAAATAATTAAATCATACTTCGGTCCGGTTCGGTCCGGTTTCGGTTCTCATAAAATGAGAACCGGTCATGGCATTGTTTAGAATCGGTACGGTTCGGTTCGGGACAAAAAAATTGAGATCCGTTTCAAACCCCGTTTTTCGGTCCGGTACCATATCGGTTCGGTTCGGTACCATGCCGGTTCGGTATTTTTGCCCACCCCTAAAAAAAAGGATTAATCCATCTCTCGGTGTTGAAACAGATCGAGCAAATAAACCAAACACACATCGTAACAGGCTTTATATACGTATGATGCATCTACATATGAATATAGGGTTTAAAGCACCAAACCCCCTGTGATTTGGAAATTCGGCGCGTTAGCCCCCTGTGATTTAAAAAATGCGTCAAACCCCCCTGTGTTTTAATTAATCATGCGCCAAATCCCTTATGTGAACAAATTCAATTGTCAAATAAAAGAAAAATGATTAGCATTTTTGTATGATTCAGAGATTTTGACATATTTATTTGCATATTCAATCAAAATATTAGGAAAAGTGATTTTCAAATCGTTAAATTTATTCATAAAGGGGGTTCTGTGCATGATTAATTAAAACACAGGGGGGTTTGACGCATTTTTTAAATCACATGGGGCTAATGCGCCGAATTTCCAAATCACAGGGGGGTTTGGTGCATTAAACCCTATGAATATATGATGTATATATATACAAAAACAAAAAAGAAATATTCAAGTGTTTCTTAAAAAACTAAGCAAAAATAATTGCTTAGAATATGAGTATATCAAATTAACGTGGATGGAGAGCAGATTTAATGTGTAGATTCTAGAACCTCTTGTTTTCTTGTATATATACTACGTAGGACGGTTCTAGGACTGGTAGGAGGAGAAAATCTGCCGGCACTATTTTTGCTTTGCCGCTACGATGGTGTCTTCAGAGCTGCTAGAGGTTGGAATCGCATATACGTAATATTTATTCTCCGTCAAATTAACTGGTGTAAAGTAGTTTACTATCCTCTCCCCACGTAAAATATTTTACATGGTACGGCGTAAAGTGTTGTTAAAAAATGTCCTACACTTTACATTAAATAGTTAAAACTAACGGTGTAAAATATTTATTTGCCCACACTTTACACGCAAAATATTTACTTTACATCGTAACAAACGGGCCCTTAAATCCTAATTTACAACACGATTTGATAGAGTCCAACCAATGAATACGTCATGTAGACGTTGTGATTTATTAAATTTTGTACTGCATCGTAAAAGTAAAAAAAAAAAAAAAAGTAAGATAGTAAAAGTAAAAGTAAGATTCATTTGTTGTATTGCATAAAAATTTGCATCATTTAATGAATTAAATGATAGTCATAAAAGTGCTATTAGTAATTATTGTTAAAAACCAATAAGAAACAACACATTCGCATTTTATAATGTGTTGTCTTGTCTTTTGCATATTATAAGAGTATTTTTTTCACACAAAAAAACTTATAGAAAATGAATATTTCTTTGTTCTTGTTGTAGATATTTTTTAATGAGAGTATGTTCCACCATATAGTTTTTTAGAAGAGATTGATCTATAACTTATTCCTTTGGTAATTTCAAATCATTTTGATCATACTGATTCAGTGATTCTTCTCAAAGCGCAAAAGGGGGTGAAATCAAACTATCAAAGTGTGGGTCATTAACAATTTAACATAAACATTTGAACCGCCTATGTCTACAGGTTACAGAAACTAACCACCCATTTTAACAGCTTGTAAATGTGCAAGCATTGCACAATCTTGTATGGACAAAATAACAAGTAACAATAGGTTAGGCATAACGCCAAATTCCAAAGAAAGAATGAATTGGCAAGAAGATTACCATCTGAGTCTCATGAAAGAAGAACAATTGTTGTGATTCTGAGTATCAAGCACTTGAGGAGCTCTCAAACAAAATAAATTGTACATTGTTGAACCCATAGAGTACAAATCAACACATACATTCTATTCATTAGAATACAATACAGTTTTTAGATGAAAACTATTTTGACTTTTGAGGAGGCACGAGGAAAAAGCAAAATTTTCTTAGTTGTTTGGAGATTGAAGTGTTTTCCAATGACAAACTTCTGAAGTTGTGGGAAGCATGCAAGAAACACCTTGATCACAGACAGCCAAGTCTTACTCTCGCAACAACTTGTGTATGAGACGTCAGCCAAAATCATAGTGTGAAGCAAGTGAAGTCTTCCAGCCACGTGGTACAAGTGCTTCGAACGCTTTGAGTTTTTCCCTAAGCAATCCCCCAATACTTCCATAATCTGCAAAAAAGCAACACAAC